AAAAAAATGTTGTTTGCAAAAAGTTTGAAAATTTCCCCAAAATCCATGGATGAGTGAAATATTCTGAAACTTGATGGGCTAACAGTGGTAAATGTATTCTGCAATCATAGCAAGTTTTCTGCCAATAGCAATAACAATGAGGGAGATAGGAGTCCTTGAGCATTCCCCATTGACACAATAACTTTTTAAAAGTAACAGAAAAGTAGTTAACTCATTATAGTTATGATAAAGACCCCGTCCAATTTTGTAAGCACTTTAGAAATAATTTTTCCCCACCCCACCCCCTAATTTCATAATGAGTATTGAAACTTTTTTTTTCTTTGATCGCACTGGCCTAGTAGATAAACATTTTTATTAGTTTAAAAATGAGCAGCATATTCTGTGCAGCAGAGGTCAACACTAAATGCATCATACCTAATGGCACTACCAGATACTACCTTTTGCAGCATGATCCCTGAAGCATTACCTTATCACATCATGAATGGTTATCCCTAGGTCTCAATGTGGGGCTATGAAATAACCCTATGTTCAGAGCACCAGACAAAGGAATATTGTGTCCAATTCTGGGCACCACAATTCAAGAGAGATAATGTGTCCAGAGGAGGGCGACTAAAATGATCAAGGGTCTGGAGAACAAGCCCTATGAGGAGCGGCTTAAGGAGCTGGGCATGTTTAGCCTGAAGAAGAGAAGGCTGAGAGGAGACATGATAGCCATGTATAAATATGTGAGAGGAAGCCACAGGGAGGAGGGAGCAAGCTTGTTTTCTGCTTCCTTGCAGACTAGGATGCGGAAGAATGGCTTCAAACTACAAGAGAAGAGATTCCATCTGAACATTAGGAAGAACTTCCTGACTGTGAGAGCCGTTCAACAGTGGAACTCTCTGCCCCGGAGTGTGGTGGAGGCTCCTTCTTTGGAAGCTTTTAAGCAGAGGCTGGATGGCCATTTGTCAGGGGTGATTTGAATGCAATATTCCTGCTTCTTGGCAGGGGGTTGGACTGGATGGCCCATGAGGTCTCTTCCAACTCTTTGATTCTATGATTCTATGATTCTATAAAGGTTGCAAGGGTTTACATCAAGCACGTTCTCTTTACAGATATGAAAGGATTAACAGGACAGAGAATGTCCTCTGCAGCTGCAAGAATTTTTATATAAATTCAGGAATATGAAGCTATAGAAATTCTCACATAGTTCATGTTCTATCTCATATTATTGTAGCAGAACAAGAGCCCTGCCCTATAAGACCAAAGGCTTATTTTAGTCTAGCATTCTTTTTCCAAAGCAACTTATTGGTTGTCTATGAAAAGCTCATATGGAGGATATGAGGGTAATATTATGAACTAAGAACTGTAATTTAAAATCCTATGGGTTTCCACATAAGTGAATATGAGTGTATGGGAGAATCACAGCCCAAGTTCCTTTGTTTATTCTTACATTAATTCATTCATGTAATAAAACAAACTACAGATACAACCGTTAGGTATGTGTTGGAAAGCCCTCCAACCTAATCAAACTTACCCAAACAAGCCCCATGTAATACATTCAAATAGCCAAAACAAAATTCCTTTGTAAGAATGTTTAGAATGACAAAATCCAAGCATTTAGCAATGTGCAACCAACACAGAACATGTGGTCTTCATAAAGCATTAAGTTGTCGGTTTGTCTCTTCAGTGAATCACAAACACTGCACACTCCATTCACAACCTCACTTCATGCCCAAATTATTCTCTATTCAGCCACATGTATTAATTATAATTTACAATATGAGCAACCTTCTGCAAATGTATATCCTAAAAGTGGACTGGAATTTGTTTCCGCTTTCCTCCCTTTCTTGGCTCCTTAGCAATAACATGGCTACTGAGACAAAGCAACACTACCAGTCTTTTATTGCTATATTCTAATTTTGCTTTCTTTGTCATAGACTAGAAAAGAATGGGTCACTAGGGTTGGTCATATCTGCCAGGCAACCACAAAACTAAAAATAGGCTGGAAAGGTTCATGTAGTGACCAAGTGTTGTGATTGTCCTTTTACTCAAAGAGCACTTTCAGAATATATTCAGCCTATGATCCTTCCTGCCAATGGTACAAAATATACTTTCTTTTTAATCACTCTACAAAACCATGGAAACTGATTATGTAGCAAAAGTCAGGGCCTGTGGTTGTTATTTCCATTGAAATGGAAGTCAGACAATGTTGTGTACCCTTTCATGTAATCCTAATCAATCTTCCTGGGGACACTTTTGCATTCAAAACCCTTTAAAGTTTTCCAAATCCTTAACAAAGAAAATCATTTTGGATTAGATGCTTGACATGGCAGGTTAATGGTCATTTCCACCTTTTTATTTCTTTTCAATGGGTCCTTAAATTATTTGAAATTTCTATGTTGCCTGGAAAGTGTTGGTGGTGTCCAGAACCACCCACTGTGATTTTCCTTTCACTCTTTTCTTTCTCCTTAACCTTCCCTGGTTTTTTTTTTTATCTACAATTAATACTTTTCTGGGTTTTTTCTGAAATTACTATTGTAGTCATCATTATTGCTGCTGACAGAAACATTCAGGTCCCTAAACTGGAGTCTGATGTTGTGAAGAAAGTCATAGATGCAAATGTGACATATAAAGTAAAAGTCATAATTTGTCATCCACAAATCTCTTCGATAGAATGATAGGCTCATTTTCCTACTTCTACAAATAGCAGTAATGGCACTTTCAATAATATGCCTGCACTCGGTGGCTGACTGTACATTGTGTTTAGTGTGACAATATGATGATGAGTGTCCAGGATTTGCTATGTTCTTAGTTTTCTAAAAGCAGACAAATAGTAATACTACTGCATATCATAGCACTTAGCTTTAATATTTCCACTCTTCCATTTTGTAGTCTTACTTTTATCTTGTGAAATAAAATGGAAGAAAGTTGCTGTTTTGCTGATTTTTCAGCAATAGAGCATTACCATTTTGAAACCTAACAATCCACCAGAGGACCTTGTTGCATCAACTGGCTAGGGACCATTTCAAGACCAGTTAAGTGTGTCTTTTCTCCCCAAAGATGCATGCAAAAAAAAAGTAATGATGATTTTATTATTAAAAATAGCTCATGATGTTTTGGTCTGGGAATGATTTTATGGTGTTCCTCTGCCATAAGCTTTGGAGACACCTTTCTACAATCCCTGCAGGTTGATTTTAAAGTTTCAGTCATCCAAGGAAACCCATGGAAATAACTCCAAGCCAAAACATCCTGAGCATTTTAAAATAATAAAATAATCTTTTTTTCCCAATGTCTTTACATTTTGACCCATTACCACATTGCATCTATTGGATGTTAACATGCATGTTTGCTTTTCTACAGTAAATAAGACACCCTTCACAGAAACAACATGTGATCCATAACCCCGAGTTACAATTTAAAAGGAAAAGAGCCAATTTAAAAGGAAAAGAACTGAAGTTGTAGTGTACCTTCAAGTCATAGAATCATAGAATCATAGAATCAAAGAGTTGGAAGAGACCTCATGGGCCATCCAGTCCTATCCCCTGCCAAGAAGCAGGAATATTGCATTCAAAGCACCCTGACAGATGGCCATCGAGCCTCTGTTTAAAAGCTTCCAAAGAAGGAGCCTCCACCACACTCCGGGGCAGAGAGTTCCACTGCTGAACGGCTCTCACAGTCAGGAAGTTCTTCCTCATGTTCAGATGGAATCTCCTCTCTTGTAGTTTGAAGCCATTGTTTCATGTCCTAGTCTCCAGGGAAGCAGAAGCTTGCTCCCTCCTCCCTGTGGCTTCCTCTCATGTATTTATCATATCTCCTCTCAGCCTTCTCTTCTTCAGGCTAAACATGCCCAGCTCCTTAAGCCACTCCTCATAGGGCTTGTTCTCCAGACCCTTGATCTTTTTAGTCGCCCTCCTCTGGACACATTCCAGCTTGTCAATATCTCTCTTGAATTGTGGTGGACAGAATTGGATACAATATTCCAGGTGTGGCCTAACCAAAGCAGAATAGAGGGGTAGCATTACTTCCCTAGATTTAGACACTATGCTCCTATTGATGCAGGCCAAAATCCCATTGGCTTTTTTTGCCGCCACATCACATTGTTGGTTCATGTTTAACTTGTTGTCTACGAGGACTCCAAGATCTTTTTCACACGCACTGCTCTCGAGCCAGGCATTGTCCCCCATACTGTATCTTTGCATTTTGTTTTTCCTGCCAAAGTAGAGTATCTTGCATTTGTCCCTGTTGAACTTCATTTTGTTAGTTTTGGCCCATCTCTCTAATTTGTCAAGATAGTTTTGAATTCTACTCCTGTCCTCTGGAGTATTGACTATCCTTCCCAATTTGGTGTCGTCTGCAAACTTGATGATCATGCCTTCTAACCCTTCATCTAAGTCATTAATAAAGATGTTGAACAGGACCGGGCCCAGGACGGAACCCTGCGGCACTCCACTTGTCACTTCTTTCCAGGATGAAGAGGAAGCATTGGTGAGCACCCTCTGGGTTCGTCCATTTAACCAATTACTGATCCACCTCACCGTAGTTTAATGATTCATGCCAATCCTAAAGTGAAGTTATCATGGTTTTTTTCTTTACAAGAATTCTATCAGACTCCCACATGGAGGTGATATCTCAAGTGTGATGTTATACTTTTTATTAAAAGAGACCACAAATTTGGAGTGATTCACAATATATAGAGCTGCATTTTTGTTTGGACTGCTTTCTTGAGCTGTTAATTCGATTTTTGTGGTGGTTTCAATTCAGTTCACTTAAGTTGGACAAACTTGGAGAAACTGGGTTTTTTTAAGTGATCTTCTGATGTACTTTTGTCTGCAAAGAAACCTGGTCCCAGCCAGTGTAACCACAGTTTTGTCTGTTTTCAAAAACAAAACTATCAGTGCACGTCATAAGAGCGACAAAGAAAAAAGGAAGTTCCTCAGTCTGTGGTGACAGGCACATGATAAACAGATCTTTTTTCAAAAGTTAAGTGACATATATAAACCCATGAGCAGAGAATTTGGGGTCAGACCTGCTGAAGCTACAGCTACACAAAGTGTGACAGAATGCAAAAAATATCCTGGCTGTTGTTGTGGCACCCTCATTCCATGGAAATGAAAGAAAAAAACCAGGAGGTCACAGAAGGCAAAGATCATAAGAAGAAAAGCAAGGTTTTGTAAGTATGGCCTCTAAAATGGATATGGAACAAAAATGTATCTCAGCAGCTTAACATAGACCTGTTCACCAATGTCAAACTGCAACCCTAGAATACAAAACAGAGGGTATTAAATAATAGGAAAAAAAGTGTGAAATCATAGAATTCTATTATTAAAAACCTGGTATAATGCAATTCATCCTCCATTTTAAGGATGTGGTCCAATTGGGTTTAACGTGATGAAAATTGTACCTCTATTAGTTGTATAGAAACAATAATTTTGGTAAAAGTTGTGTCTTACCTGGCTATATGACAAGCAAAACTGCAAATTTTGCCCCTTTAACATTAAAGATACAGAGGTTATCTTCGGATTTTGCTCAGGCAACCCTAGAACTCGTGTCCCATCAACATTAGTACTATTTATTTTTGACTAAACAGCAATAAGGTTACAATGTAAGTGTTATCAATTCCTATGGCAATGGTAGGCAATTGTAGGCATGCCAAAGTGAGAAACTTTTTTTCCCTACAGAATAGCCATTAAGGAGTCTGCATCCTATGGTCTGAATTCTATTCTTGGTCCCAACTAGAGTAGATCTGGCCAGGCCCGTAGCCAGGATTTCGATTTGGGGGGGGGGGGGAGTTTTTTTCAGGGGGGGGGGGTGGGGGCTGAGTTTTGGGGGGGGGCTGAGTCTGAGTGAAAGAGGGTCTACCCTAACAAACATTTTGTATCATTACCCCAATACCCCCATGCATATGGGATATATTGAGCATGGTGATCAGATCATGATATGAATAAACATAACAGTTTAAATAATGCACCAGTAAGGCCTTTTCGCGAACACCATGAGAATTTCGGGGGGGGGGCTGAAGCCCCCCCCCCCCCCCCGGCTACATGCCTGGATCTGGCAAAGCAGTGGGATTTACTGGCAAATTGACTCATTAATCAGTAATTGATTCAAAGGATTTACTTTAGTCAGATTCATACTTCAGAAGAGGAAATTCTAAGATGTGTGTGTGGGGGGGGGGGGGGGGGTTAGCATGTGGCTCATAAAATCAATATAGTTTTCTTCTTTGTTGTGTGCCTAAAAGTTATTTCTGACTTGTTGTGCCCCTAAAGTGAGCCTGTCATGGCATTTGGGGGCAGAATTTGTTAGAAGAGTTTTGTTCTTGTGTTCCTCTCAAGATGAGAAGACCACAAATCATCCAGAGGGTGTCTATGGCTAAGAAGGAATTCAAATCCTGGTCCCCCAGTGCCGTACGACTTCATCAAATGTTAAAAAGTAAATGTGCTAGGATGCTTCTGCCCCAGTTCACTCACGGAGGACCATGATGCCCATCAGATGATATAGGCCACATGGTGGGACACTGTGCCAGTAACACAGTAGCCTCCCCATGTTCCATTAGGAACAACGGAGCTACCGCAGCATCAAGCCACATGGCAATGCTTCACCACATGAGATGGGGAAGCATCGGCTGCCAGCTAGGGTGCCGGGTGTGCCACGCTGCTGCCCCAATTTGCCATGAAGGCTGTTGAATTGCAATGCTGGACCTCATCCATGTAACAAAGTCCCTAGTCCAACACCTCAACCACTATACTATACTGACTCCCTAGTTCTACTTCAATCCTCTCTCATTACTTTACAATATTTTTCCAGGCAAAGATATACTTTCTTTGCATAGCTTTGCAAAAGGCTATAGAACAGATAACATAGTAAATTTCAGCCCAAACTATGATGGCTATACTTACTAATTGTGTTTTATCCTTGGTTGCAGGGGTGCAGAACTGAAAAACTATGTGCTGTCTCTTGTGCCACACATAGAATCAACTGACATCAAATATTCTACTTCCAAAGATTTAATGTAAGAACTAATTAATGTTGTTATAATAATACCATACAATCTAAGAATATTTGTCCTGTTTTCATTTATTTTGGCTTCTCGTCTACATGTAGCAAGGTATGGCAATCAGTGTGAATGCATAAAAGAGTCCTTTTTCAGTTGATCACATGTATCTTTAGTAGAGAGAGCTTATCAGGAAGCAAAATATTTAATATCATATGTAGAGAAAGACAAAGTTAAAGACCCCATGGGAAAGTGACAGAGTAATGAGTGCAGGCATACTTCAGTTAACAAATTAAATATGCTTCTGCGCTTTACTTGTTGCGCAGGTGATGGCGGCAGCTGGGAGGGCCTTTGCACAATTAAAACTTGTGCGCCAGCTGCGACCATACCTCATGAAGTCTGACTTGACCACGGTGGCCTACGCCTTAGTTATCTCTAGACTGGACTATTGCAATGCACTCTATGTAGGGCTTCCCTTGAAGATGGCCCAGAAACTCCAATGGGTCCAACATTTGGCAGCCAGACTACTAACTGGGATGAATTACAGGGAGCGATCAACCCCCCTGTTCAAGGAGCTCCATTGGCTGCCATTCATCTCCCGGTCCCAATTCAAAGTGCAGGTCATCACTTATAAAGCCCTGAACGGTTTGGGACCCACCTACCGTTGTGACTACCATAAACCTGCATGATCTCTTCAATCTTCTGGAGAGGCCTTCCTTTTGCCCCTTCCTCTATCCCAGGCATGACTTATGAGAACGAGAGATAGAGCCTTCTCTGCTGTGGCCTTCCGGCTTTAGAATTCACTACCTGGTGAGATTAGGAAAGCCCCAACACTAGCAGCCTTTAAGAAAGATCTAAAAACTTGGCTCCTCCGATGTGCCTTCGGAGAGTGACCATTCAAACCATTTTGTTTGTTTCCATCTACAGTTGTCCTCATGATGCACTTTCCCCTGTCCTTAATGAGGGCCAAACCCCACTACTACTCCTTCTTGGGCTTCTTCCTCATAAATACACTTTTTTCTATTCCCATCTCATTCTGTATTCACTGTTTATTTTATTTTGTTACTTTATGTCTTTTGTTGTGATGTAATTTTATGTTATTTTGTGTCTAACTTTGCTGTCTTATTTTTGGGATTGGCCTCATGTTAGATGCCCCGAGTCCTCTTTGGGGAATGGTGGCAGGGTATAAATAAAGATTATTATTATTATTATTATTATTATTATTATTATTTAAGAGAAACTTTGGTACCAAAGTTAGAAATAACTCTGAAACAATAGCAATAGTGTCCAATACCACAACAAAGAGTACAACTTAGCATACTTTTCGTCAAAACTATCAATATGCACAAATGAAAGGGAATAGCCAAGGCCTTTCTACACTGCCATATAAAATCCAAATTATCTGCTTTGGACTGAATTATATGGCAGTGTAGACTCCATTGGCTACCAATTTGCTACCGGGCCCAATTCAAAGTGCTGGCTTTGGCCTATAAAGCCTTAAACGGTTCTGGCCCAAGTTACCTATCCGATCGCATCTCCGCCTACGAACCCACTAGGACTTTGAGATCTTCCGGGGAAGCCCTGCTCTCAATCCCGCCTGCAACACAGGCATGGCTGGCGGGGATGAGAGACAGGGCCTTCTCGGTGGTAGCCCCTCGGCTGTGGAATGCCCTTCCCATGGACATTAGATCGGCTCCCTCATTGATGGTATTTCGGAGAAAAGTGAAAACCTGGTTATTTGAACAGGTGTTTGAATAGGCAGTGCAATGAATTTTAGGAAATGGAACTACGGATGACGAGTTTGGATCATGATTCTAGTTGTGAGACGCCAATGAATGAATGCTTATTGTTGTTTAATTGCTTAGTCTGCTATTGTGTTAATTGTTTTTAAATACCTTGTTATGCTGCATTGAATTTTTGCTATTATTGTTGTTAACCGCTATGAGTCGCCTAAGGGCTGAGAATAGCGGTATACAAGTGAAATAAATAAATAAATAAATAAATAAATAAATAAATAAATAAATATAATCTGTTCAAAGCAGATAATGTGTAATATCTATGTTGATAATCTGGATTATATAACAGTGTAGAAGGGGCCCAAATTTGCATAAGCAAACAAATACCTATTGAGCCTTCTACTTGAAAATTTATTCAAAAATACATCCAGTTGGTTTTTTTTTCTTTGACTTCGTTTTTCTTATGATCTACATTTAATGGCAAAACTGAAAAGGTATTTGCTTTTTCAATGTATTAGGAAATTAGTGAGGCAGGCTTATCTGCTTTCTCTTTTTCTTTCTGTTTTTCTCTTCATGCATGTTCAGTCAGTATAGCCATTGTTTACCTTACCAGCTACCTTGGTAGACTAGAATCTCATTCTTTCCCAGCTCAAGGTCTATTACATTGTTTACTGCAAGCAGAATGCTGCAACCCATCATAAAAAGTCTGTTTTTCTCCTCAATGTCGATGCTGGCAAAGAAACTTTCTAGTTAGAAGACAAGGGGGCAAATTGGGACTTGGTGCATGTAAAAAGATTTTGCTATCTGAGTTATATTTGTATTGTTGTTACTTTTTTTTCTGGCCAGCTGAGAAAACAAATTAAACTACCATTATATGTGTGTGTGTGTGTGTGTGTGTGTGTGTGTGTCTTGCAACTGTGAAGGAACCCCAGCAGATCCCTAACAACTGCTTTTAAATAAAAATACATACTTGTTTGGAATTTTATTTCTGTTTCAGTTTGGTGGCATATGACCCTTCCAGACAGGCCCTATATCCCAGGATCTGATCCCAGGTTTTCTGTTTATCCCAGGTTATCTGGCAGTGCAGGCTCATATAATCCAGTTTAAAACAGAAAACTTGGGATCAGATCCTGGCATCTGGAAGGGCCAGTAGTCATTCCTCCTGTCGACAAGTTGTTATATGCTTCATTCATGTATCTCATGCTGAGACAGAAAATGGCAATAAGCTTTTGTAAATAAAGTCATAAATCCAGTTGCTAGTCATTACTGGAGTAGGTTCCTTGAGTCAATTGCTAAATAGTAATATTGAATGATAATTGACCTGTCTCAATCTAGTTGGTTCAATGGGTTTACTCTATCTGAGACTATTAAATAGACTTAATCTACTCCATCATCACAGAGGAGAGTCAGGATAAAGGATGTAAGACAAGACAGCCAATATACTGGTGGCACATATTGACTCATCATCTTGTCAATACATACATTTTTAATTTGTTTTTAACGAACACCTACACACATTTGAGTCATCCCAATTCATTGTCTTTTGTGTCATCAGTATGACACAAGAATGAGTAAAGTATGGAACTCGGACTATGGAGTCCTGGCAGGCCCGTAGCCAGGATTTTGTTTCAGGAGGGGCTGAGTTTGATTCGGGGGGGGGGGGGGGGGGGGGGGAGTCTGAGTGAAAGAGGGTCTACCCTAGCAAACCTTTTGTATCGTTACTCCAATACCCCCATGCATATGGGATATACTGAACATGGTGATCAAATCATGATATGAATAAACATAACAGTTTAAATAATGTACCATTAAGGCCTTCTTGCGGACCACCCTGAGAATTTCGGGGGGGGGGGGGCTGAAGCCCCCCTGAGTCCTGGGGTAAGATACCCACTCAGCTATGAAATTCATTGGAAACCCTGGGGTAAAACAAAGTAGAAAGGTCAAAAGTAGGGTACAACAAGATAGCAAGCAAAGATCAGTGCTTTGCATACAGAATATTCTGAATTCCTGAGCAACTTCACTTCATATAATCCTATGATGTAATTAGACAACTCTCTGGAGATCCATTATTTAATCTCTAAAAGGCTGCTAAAGTGGTGAATTATATTGGAACCAGTGCTGGGGAAAGTGAGTTTCTTCCTTTTCTGACAACACCATTATTTCTCTGGTGCAAAATCATCCTCCCACAGTTGATGGGGTTTTGTTTTTTGTCTTGCAGACACTAATGTATTGATGTATACATTAGAAGGGAATGGTTGGGACTATTCCTGGATACCACAGTTAATACTGGGCAAGATAAAACCACTATTTGAATTATATCAGACAGCTTCATGGGTTCAATTCCACCCAGAAAGGTGACATGCACACTGAACAGATGTAATATATTGATAGATGATAGATAGATAGATAGATAGATAGATAGATAGATAGATAGATAGATAGAAAGATAGATAATTGCTTTAATCTGACATTGTGCTAAATGTATATAGACTCCCCTTTCAAGAATAACCACGCACACATAAACACAATTTTTGAAATATGCCTAATGGAGAAATAAAAAGGACAAATTAATGACCCTGTCTTTTAAATGCTAGTGTTAAATTAACTACTGTGTCTTTTCCAGAATAGGCCAATACATTTCCAACAGTCAAATTTTCATTTCACGTTGTTTAATTATACCAAATGTTGTTTCAGATTCCCTGCCGAAGAAGTTATACAGTGGTCCCAGTCTCTGGAAAAGCTTCTAGCAACTCCATGTAAGTTTTATTATAACAGTTATGACTTGAACAGTGTAATTGTGAAATGATAGTCTTGAACGAAACAACAAAACTTGGTTAAGTAACATCCCTGTGGTGGTTATGCCATGATTCAAAGTTCAAAAGGTGTGTGTGCCTTGAGGTCACCTGTTGACTTATGTGGTTTTTGTAGGCAAAGAATACTGAGGTCCCTTCTACACTGTCATATAATCCAGGATATCAAGTCTAATAATCCACATTACCTGCTTTCAACTGAATTATCCGAGTCTACACAGCCAGATAATCCACTTTGAAGCAGATAATCTGGATTTTACAAGGCTGTGTAGAAGGGCTTCAGAATTAGTTTTGCCAGTTCATTTCTCTGAAATATAGGCTTCAGAACCTGAGATTCACTGTCAGCTTCCCATTCCAGTATTAACTTGAGCTGACTCTATTTTGCCTTTGGAATATTTAGATCTTCAGATGTCAAAGGCCATTTTCTAAATCAAATGTCATGGGCATACATCTTCTTTAAAGCAGAGATGGAAAATATATTCATCATCCAGTAGATGCTAGACTGAAACTCTTGTCATTCAGTGGCTATGATTATGACTAAAACGTATTTGTCCTTTTTCTGTTTATCTCAGATGGTCAAGATGCATTCAGGGAGTTTCTAAAATCTGAGTTCAGTGATGAAAACATTGAATTCTGGCTGGCTTGTGAGGACTATAAGAAAACCCAAGCTGATCACTTACATAGCAAAGCAGAGAAGATTTACAAGGAATTTGTTCAATCTAATGCCATCAAACAAGTAAGTTCAAATTTCTCTAGATCCGGGATTCTCAAACATTTTAAGCTGTGGAGCTCTTTTTGAAGCAAAAGTTTCTCATGGAGACCCAAAAAATATTATTATATTATATTATATATTTTATATAATGTATATTAGGCTTGCTTGATCATGTTCGTTAGTTTCTAAAGTTGTTATTAATTTGTATTTAAATTAGCTTACGATCCAATATCGAGCCATGTAGGAATAGTGTGAAGAGTAATTAAGAATCGAAACAATTTTCCCAAATTTTCGTAATTATTTCGTAATTATTTCATAATTATTAAGACGGGAAAGAAGCAGAGAAAAGGTGCCAGCATTGCCTTTCCTCCCCATCCTCCTCCTCCTCCTCCTGGAGATATTTTATTATCTTATTACTTATTTTATTATTTTATTTTATTATTTTATTATTTTATTATTTTATTATTTTATTATTTTATTATTTTATTATTTTATTATTTTATTATTTTATTATTTTATTATTTTATTATTTTATTATTTTATTAATTTTAAGTGATTTTAATTTGTATTTTTACTAACTTCATGTATTTAAATTTCATCCTGAATTTATTTTAATTTGGTTTCTGTTAGTTGTAAGTTTTATCACCAACAGTCAGCAACAGAGGGAGAGGGATACTTCAGAAGTTCCCCCTGTCCCGTTTGGAGGTGTTTTTAGCGCATTGCGCAATCGCGTCTGCCATTAACAAATCAATTCATAATTAACGAAATTTTGTAAATTTCGAAATTTTGAAATCTTAAATTGCGGAAGTCCTCAGAAATTCGAAACGCTGGCGCCCCCTGGAAACGAAGCAAGTTTAGAACCAAATTTTTTCTTGATCAAACAAGCCTAATGTATATATATCAGGCATGGGCTGGGTCAGTGACAGATGGATGGAGAGTGTCTGTGTGAACTAATTCACAAAGTTAAAAAAATGCAATATTTAAAAAGAAGAACAATTTTAACCACCGTAAACTTAACAGTATTTCAGTAGAAGACCCTCAGGGCCATCCAGTACAATCCCCTTTTGCTATACAGGAAAAATACAAATCAAAGTACCTCCAACAGATGGCCATCCAGCCTTTGTAATAACAATGATGACAACAACAAAAAACAACAACAACAGTAACCTCAGAGGAGGTGAGGTGCCTGTGGGGCCCCTAAGCACCTCTTGCAGAGGCCCAAAGGCTCCCCAGAGCATTGTTTGAGAACTGCTGCTCTAGACCAATGTATATAATTGAAGTGATACAGCATTTTACAATCCAGTACAGTTAATCTCTGCATGGGGAGCCCTTTACCTGGAAGCATTCTCCTTTATTCAATAGCAGGGTACCATTTTATTTTTCCTGTCATGATATAAGATAGCTTGAGTCCTAATGACCAAAGAATACTATAAAAATATTTTGTCCAGATTATATAGTATTGAGTGCAATACTGTCAGGCTTTCACATTTTCTGGAGTTAGAGATGCAAGACCCCAGAAAAAGTGGGAAAGTATGAATTAAAAAATACAGGACTGAGTTTACCTTAGAGAACACCTCTCTTGGTCCTGCAACATGACTCTGTTGTGAACTTCTGATGCATGTTGACCACAAGAACTGCACTGACGGATCTGGAGATTCCTAAAAAGATGTTCTCTCTAGAACTCTGTAGGTTCTCCAGCATGGCTGAAGGATTTCTAGCAGAGGTTGACCATAGATCCATTCAGGAGGAAAAAAGATTCCTCAAAAGTACATTTTAATTAAATGTGTGAAAAAGCATATCCACAAAAATAAAAAAAACAAAAAAACCCACAAATGTGGATGGTGACTGTACATTCTAAAGAATGTTTGATAATTTTTATGTATCATAACACAAAGCAAAACCCTGCAGGGACCTCTGGGATGTGGCAGGTGCACCTGCCACATGAAGTTTGGAGTCATTATATACTTAGAAGACAGATGTTTGTTTGAGCTTCTTAAGATGAATGAGAGCAAACAGTAGGATTTTTACTACATAGCAATGGCTTATCAGTGTTGAAAAGGGCTGTGTCCTTACATTACTAATCCAGTTTTTAAAGCAGAAGAATGTTAACAGGATGTATTTTGCTAAAGTTAAATTTACTCTCCCTAGGTCAACATTGACTTTCACACGAGGAAGGACATAGCTAAGGAGGCTCAAGATCCAACACCTTCAAGCTTCAATGAGGCCCAAAGACTTGTTTTTGTATTGATGGAGAGAGATTCATATCCAAGATTCCTCAAATCCAGATTCTACCGTAACCTGCTCAGTAAGGTTGAATACAACAGTCTCAAATGAAGACCCTGGAGAAAGCCATGGCTGGGCTATGAAGATTTTTTTACACTGAAAGCAGTTTGTGTATAGCGAAAATAATACACAAAATTGGACAGTTGAAGCTGGGAATAAAAGGAGAAGTTGGAACTGGCAATGTCAGGGCTCTTCCACATGAGCTCTGCGGACAAGTCAAGGGTGCCCAGGGAAATTTCTTCCAAGAAGTAGTACATGGAAGAAAGACTCTATTCCCTTAGCACCATTAAGCTAAAGACTGTTTCTTATGTTATTGTATCATTTCTCCAGTTTAATGGGGGGGGGCATGGTGCATCTACCCATATTCTTGCTTTTGAGCCATGTTGTTCATGTCACAGTTATGTCAGTCATTAGTTCCTTATTACTTTATAGCTTATAGCTAAGTGTACAAACTGACTCCCTTGGAAAGCATTGCTGATGAAATCTGTTTTTGTTTAAGAGGCTATGTGCAAATCCCAACTGCAAAGCATGGGAAGATAGCATCACCTCATAGCACTTCCGTTTGTTCTGTCTGACCACAAGATATATGACCTTTGCCTGTTTTTTTGTGCGCTGACATTGAAGACAATTTGCTTCTCTAGAAAGACAAGAGTGTATGGCTTGACCCTGAACTGCAGACATGATACGTTCATCTTTCCACTTTCCATCTTCTGGAGAAGCAGGGTTTTGCTGTGGTTTTGCTCATGAGGTTTTGCTCATTTCCACTGGGCCCTGCTGCTTTTTGAAAGAAATTAGAGGAAGTCAAATTGTGACATATCAGGTTCTTCTATCTGGTATAACTCTTTGATTTTTGGTGTCTGATGAAAAGCTCATTGGCTCCAATCAATGTGGACAAGTTTCCTTGACGGGTGGTAAATTTCACCTTTACCAGGTTCAACTTGTCCATGTGCTAGTGTGCTTACAAGAGAATTGGATGGATCCAAGTTTCTAGTTGGTAAATTTACTCCATAACAAGAGACATAACCAATCCTTCAAACTGATCATGGCTTTGTTCCTAAGTGAAGCTAGTCACAGAAGAAAGATTTTCCTGTTCACTTTCATTACTTGTAAAACTTCTTAATCTAGCTTATTTTACAATCCAAAATAATATGTTTAGGAATTAAAACTATTGACCAAAACAGCCATTATGGCACCAAGTGTAAATCCATCTGATTTATGATGCATTCAGGAATGTGTGACTTCAGAATACTCAGTGTTGTATGTTTCTTTGAATTCCAATAGATTGGTATCCTATAGATGTAAGCTAGTGTGTGAATGATATAATTTTAGCCGTTGATATGTCATACAGTAATATTTAATTTATTGCAAATTGTAAATTAATTGCAAAAGACAACAAAATTACAACTATTTCACAAATTTAATGTGTTTTGGTGACTACTTTCTCTCTTTTAATAGCAACAACCTTGAGAAGAGACATCAAGCATTTACTTGGTTACATGGCAAGTGAGCAGTGTGGGGCTTCTTGAATCACAGATTGTACAGACACAGAGCTTGGGGAAAATAGTATTATGTACTACAGCTGACAAAACCTCTTAGTCCATTTGTAGCCATACTAGCGGGGCTTTTCAGGAGTTGCAGTCCAACAACACTTTCCTAATTTCTGTCTAAGATACTAAGCATCATGTTGTAACCAAACTTCTAGGGTTATTCTCTCTTTCCAGCATCCTGGCTGCACATCTTTTGTACTTTGTTATATTAAACCTCAGTCATAAGGTTATGAGAAATGCTCATAGGTCTTTGTTCTCTGATGCAAATTCCAAATAATGCTCATGGCCAGGTCTTCCATTATGTAAACGGAAGTTCCATTTGATAAATGATATTAGGTTAATCATCTCAAGTGGCAGATGTGGGAAACGATGTGCAACATGATATCTGTCTTGCACATTTCTAACTTTGCTGCAGCAGTTAAGAATACTGTCCCATCACCAGCACATTCATTTGCAGCTCTTACAAAACAAAATTCTATTATCAATCTAGTTATTTAAATATTTTAGACAGCTGGAAACTGCTCGCTTGCTTTCTAAACTAACAGCTAAACAGGATTTGTGTTTTTTCTGGACTAATTTATGGGTGAACATTCAAGCTAGAGTTTTACAAACACAGTTACCAAAGGGTGGAATCCTTTAACTTGCTTCTATACAAATGCATAGAGCAGTGCTTCTCAACCTGGGGTCCCTAGATGTTTGTGGCCTACAACTCCCAGAAATCCCAGCCAGTTTACCAGCTGTTGGGATTTCTGGGAGTTGAAGGCCAAAAACATCTGGGGACCCCAGGTTGAGAACCACTGAGGGTACTGTTCCATTATTCAGGTGGAGGCCAGTAGAGGGTGCTAGAGAGAGGAGGGTAGTTCATTTTAGGGGTGGAGGGTGGGTTGAAGGAGTAAAACCATTTCCTCCTGTTTTCCTGTTACTTCCCTCATCCATGTCCCTTTCATGGAAACAACCTCTTTTTATAATAAGGGAATTGGAGAGGGCAAATAAGCAGTGAAAACAGGGAAAAGTTTTTCCTCCTTGAACTCCCCCCTGTAAAATGGACTATGCTTCTCTCTCTCTAGCACTCCCTAGTGGCCCCTGTTTGGATAATGGAACAGTACTGAATTGAGCTACCTGAATGCTTAATTTAAATTGTCCTTCATTAAACTGAGAAAGGAAACCTCACTTTTGGATAATCTTCTGCCATGGGTTTTTCACAAATCCAATCTCAACACTGTCTGAAATAATGGAATGGCCCATGGCTGATGCTTCCATATTAATGGGATGGCAAATCTGTTCTTAGTTTATTCTACATTTAGAAAAATGGGCCAAGGAGCTGAACCCCTATGTCCAAAATAGGTTCAATATCTTGGACAGCTCCTTTAAAATTTGGAGTAAAACATACATTTGATTCATTGCCTCTTTGGTCTCTAAGCCACCACTCACCTTAACATGTGGTCCACTATTAAATTTATCCAACTAAAGAACAAACAATTGCCCCTTTTGTCATCCAGTGTGCTATTTTAAAAGGGCAACAAATAAATAAATAAACAAACAAACAAATTGGCCTGAGAAGGGCTTTGAGTGTCATCTTCTACCTTGCATGAGTTAGCAGCATAATTTAGATCAGACATGTGAAAATGTTGGCCCTCCAAGGCTTCAACTTCCAGAAATCCCAGCCAGCTTATTGGCTGTTAGGAATTGTGGAAGGTGAAGTCTTAGACACCTGGAAATCAGGGAGTCCAGAATAGGTTGTCTGTACACATTTTGCCACCAAAACAAAGAGGGAAGAACTGGATAATTCATGAAAAATATCAGAGATGTTGCCCCAACTGTCAGCCTCAGCATCTGTTAACTTACTTTGGCTTGAAGATATATGCAACCCCATTCCTAAGTCCAACAGAAGCTAGCATGGAAATAGTCTACATAATATCTTTTTTGCATTTGTCCCACTGTCTCACCTCAATAAACTCATATACCCTAATCTGCCTCTGGCTTCAAAATTTCCATGGCTGCTGAATACAAAGAGGCTCAATTATGTTCTTCTTAAATCACTATATTATATATGTACATACAAGATACTAGATAAATGGATATATTTGATTTATAGGGGCAATCCAGACAAAAAGTCTACACAATCCTCTGGGATATTTTGTGACTAAGATGGAAAGAATATTGAAAAATGTTGAATGATTTGAATACAAATATTTTTTTCCAAGGACTGATGAGAATACTAGAAGGATGATAACCTTTACAGTTCAGAATACATTCATTTGAAAAAGGCCAGATACCATGGGATGGTCCTCTTTCTTTCTAAGGGTGTATCTACACTGTAGAAGTAATGCAGAAAACAATATTTCTATGTAGAAAATGTATTATTTTATTTATTTCACGTATTTCTACCTCGCCCTTCTCAACCCCCGAGGGGGGACTCAGGGCGGCTTACAAAAGGCACAATTCAATGCCACACAATAAAATAGAGCATATATAAACAACAATCATAACAATTAAAACAATCAATTATGCATCATAATCCATAAAACCAGTCTAATGCTCAACGTTCACCATCTCAGAGTCCGTACATTTATTCCACATTGTCAAATCCTATCAATTCTAGTCGTCATTGTCCTTTGTCTATCTGCTAGATTACCCAAAAGCCTGGTCCCATATCCATGTTTTAGTTTCCTTCTAAAGGAGAGGAGGGATGTTGATGACCTAATTTCCCCAGGGAGTGAATTAAACAGGTGAGGAGCCACCACCAAGAAGGCCCTGCTCCTCGTCCCCACCAACCTCACTTGTGATAGAGGTGGGGCTGAGAGCAGGGCCTCCCCAGAAGATCTTAAATTCCGAGGCGGGACATATGCAGTTTTCTGTGGGGGAAAAACCACCAGTCTTTTGAACTGCAAAGTACAAGTCCTCAAAAACTACAAGGATTTTCAGTCAACAAAGAAAAACATGGTAAATCCATTATTGGCTGAGAGGTTGAAATATATGATGATTCACATCTTTGATTTGGAGATGTAAAAATTACTCTGGTGATTGGCACAATCATCCCTACGTACACTGCCTCTGAACTGAGCTAATTTAGCTCTTTCGTTTTCCAGGAAACTATGAGCAACCAAGCAAATTCCTGGAACACAAATAAGTGAAGGCTAAAAGTGACTGCTGCCAAACACTTGTAAGAGCCCATATTGGAACCTGCACTGATTGTGATAGCGATGAACCAATACTGCTGTGTCTTCATAATGCCAACCAGCAGAACTGGCCATGATCTTTTAATCTTAACTGCCAGACTAATGTTCAGGATCTCTGGAGTGCGTACTATGACAGTTTTTCATTCCAGTGTTTAGAATAAAACTGTTAGTATTCATCACAATCTGAATGTTGCTTTGCAGTACCCAAACTGAATGTATCTGTTTAGCCAAGTGCTGCTGGTTGAATTTGCTTCCTGAACAATGAGAATATGGACAAGATAAGGCTTGGTGGTATATTGCTGTCACTGCCTCAAGCTTGCTCAATACTTGCCTCTCTGATTTGGAAAATTTAACAGGGTTGAGTTTTTTTAAAAAAAAACAAACAAACAGGAATTTCTTTTTTAAAATGGGATGGTCCTCTTTCTTTCCAAAGGTGTATCTACACTGTAGAATTAATGCAGTTTTGCTCAAAGCTATTTAGTGTGTTGAGGCATCAACTCAGGCTAAAGACTGTTAAACTACAACTTCCAGGATTCCATAGCACTGAGCTATGTTAAAATGGTGTCAAACTGCATTAATTTTGCATCCTAGGAAAAAGGTTGTAATTCTGTTCCTGTTGGGGAACTGCTTTTCATGGAGCTCAGCAATGAACTAGTATTGAATTTATGGGATCGGGTGTTTGGAGATGGGAAAGGCAAGTGCCTAATGTGCAGTTCTAAACACACTGAGATCACAATTTTATGCATCCAATGCACTGTTTCACCGGCTTAGTTTGGCAAGGAAGTCTTCTCACTTTCTTGGATAGCCTATGCTAGAAAAGGATAAAGATACCAACAAGCAGAGGAGGGCGACTAAAATGATCAAGGGTCTGAAAAACAAGCCCCATGAGGAGTGGCTTAAGGAGCTGGGCATGTTTAGCCTGAAGAAGAGAAGGCTGAGAGGAGATATGATAGCCATGTATAAATATGTGAGAGGAAGCCACAGTGAGGAGGGAGAAAGCTTGTTTTCTGTTTCCTTGGAGACTAGGACACGAAACAATGGCTTCAAACTTCAAGAGAGGAGATTCCATCTGAACATGAGGAAGAACTTCCTGACTGTGAGAGCCGTTCAGCAGTGGAACTCTCTGCCCTGGAGTGTGGTGGAGGCTCCTTCTTTGGAAGCTTTTAAACAGAGGCTGGATGGCCATCTGTCAGGGGTGATTTGAATGCTTCTTGGCAGGGGGTTGGACTGGATGGCCCATGAGGTCTCTTCCAACTCTTTGATTCTATGATTCTATGATTCTAAGCACTTTCTCCTGAGCCTCTCCATGATCACCAAGCATGTTACTATTCTAGACTGGTTTGTTGCAATTGGTATCCATACAGTGTGTTTCACTGGATACACCACCTCTAACTGATTAGTTGGTTGTAAAAATAATAGCAGTTGTATAAATAGTGTCTCAGGGCTCGTGGCACCCCAAGCACCCTCCTTCCTTCCCCCATCATATGGTGAGGACAGGACAAGATCCATTGGTGCCCTGCTCCATTTCTCATCATTTCCATTTGCCATGTTGCCTTTTTCCCCATCAGATAGAAGAAAGGCAAAAAAAATGTGTGTAGCTCCATTGGAGCTACTCAAAACAAACTTATCTTTCCATAGTTGCTGAGGAAGGGTCTTGCAACTCTTTCTTGACACTTGGAGGGTAAATAGGATGGGGCCTGCGGAGCATCAT